ATATATATATATGTAAGTAGCAAAATATTAAAAAAAATTTTTTTTTTACATTTTCTGAAGTGGAACAAAAAATTATTATATTTTCTTTATCTGGATTTGGGGATATTCTATCAACCTGATTATGACAATGTAGGCCCCCATTACCATATTTAGTTTCTAGAAATCTTTTCTATTTAAGTTCATTTTTCGTTTAATTTTTCTTTAACTTTACTTTGTTTACATTTTTATATTTGTTTATATTTTATGTCCAAAACTTTATTTTCTTCAATATTTTCATTATTTTGTAGTTATTTGAATTGAAATGTTTTCTTTTCTTATATTTTTATTTTTACTTTCATTTTCTTTATTGGTACTTCTATTGCAATCATTAACCTGGGTTTCAGGAGAAATGTGTAGGGACACATTGCTTTTATAATCAGAGAAATTGATCAGTTTTCTCTGATTTGATATTACAACCTGTTTTACATAATCAATCACTAATTGAAATCTTACACAAGATTTTAAACTTAATGTGGTTTGAGGTAAATCAGTATTTAAAATATAACTTTCAACTGACCTAGCTATTTTTTCAATTTTTTAAATTTAATGTTCAAGTCTGGTTAAGTTACAAAATACCTTTTATTTGTTTTACTTTTAAAATTTTGTTTTTCATTTTGGACATATAATTTTTCAAAAATTTTCGTTTGGATTACATTTAAAGTACTACCTGTGTCGCCATTTAAAAGATAGTATTGTTAGTCAAAATAGGTTGTTTGACATTTATATTATTTTTATTTTGGACATATTTTGAGTGTATTTGATACTATTATCAATTTCGTATTTGGTCACTTTCTTGTTTATTTTTATACTGGAATTGATTCTCAGCAGTAAAGAAATTTGGTTTGTATATTGAAATGTCTGAGCCATGAACTGAACACTAATGTCGGAGACAAAAATTAATATGTCTGGTTTTTCTTAATTGAAATTGATCTTGATTAAAATTTAAATTTAGAAAACAAATGTTTAATTCATCTTCCAAATTATTAGGTTTAACATTTTCTGATACTTCTATTTTTGATTTATAATTACTGCCACTTTATAAGGGCATTCAAACATTAAAAAAAAATTCAATTATTAAATATTACATTTAAAAGAAGAAAAAAAATTCAAATATTTTAATTGCTTACTTTTCTTTACACTGTAATAAAACAAAAATATAAATTTTAATTTTACATTTTATAAATCATATCTACTGTAAAATAATAAAATAGACAATAATTCTGTACTATTTATAATAATGATTTTACTAAATCAAAATAAAAAGTTTTCTGAGATGGAAAAGAAATTAAACAATGGTAATAAATTTTAAAAATATTTTCGAATTGGGAAAATAAACAAATCTGCTCAGCATTGTAAGTAAACTAAATATGTATAAAAAGATATTAAAATTTATAAATCAGGTATTTTTTTGATCAAATTCCAAATTATGAATTAAATGGCAATCAAACTCAATTTCTTTGAGGAAATGCAATAGATTGTATTAATTTAAAAGAAAAATTAATAATTATAAATAGCCGAAATTGAGAAAAAAATCTATAATTAGCATACAACCATCTTATTAAAGCAAAATAAATTATATCACTCTATAAATTCACAGAAAATAAAATCATTTATTATAGTTTTTCGAATTTGATACTTTTTTTTAAAAAATCTGTTAAAAATGTTATATATTTATTTTTTATTTCAGTTAGGGTATTTTGAGTATCTTTTTCCCGAACTGTTCCAGAAACTCACAGATAGCATGATTCTTTTCCCCCATGAAAACATGTTTTTCTGTATTAAAAATACTAAAGCAAGCTCTGTAAGGAAGTCGTTTCGTGACATGAATATTGCTTCTTTCGAGCATAAACATGAGAATCTTTAGACGTTTTATCATACACTTCACTTCACAAAGTCTGGGAAGCAGAAATTTCTATTGTCACAATTAGAAGAGCTTTCATTTAAATTAGCTTCAATATTGTCCCCCATATATCTATTTGTGATATGATATGTTGATTCCACTTATTAAAGCATTTTAAAAAGCAATTGACATTTAAACTAAGGATTCTATGGTCAGGTTTACTATCTAATTCTTTCAAGTTTGTATATTAAAAGTTTATTTTTATGTAGAAAGATAAATTCTTGTTCTTTTTCTTAGTTTTTCTTCTGTAAATGTTTGAAATATAAATTGAACACTCTTTAGATCTAGACTTAGGCCTCACCTTGTTACTCTGTATTACGTCAAAGGTTCTCATCAGTTTTGAGATGATTTGTTGTTCTACAAATTGAACTAGCTTTAAAACATTAAAATTGTCATGTTGTTGTTAATGTCGTCGGCCATTAAGGCAGAGAGAGTGCGCTTGTTCTTGTTTTCCATTCGCGCCATCTGTGGCCAAGAATTTGACTTCTGCCACACATGTCATACCCGTTTACAGGGCGGACCTATTCATACATGCATTTATTCGTCCACAGATCTTAATTTTGACCTGAACGAGAGAGCAATCAATCTCTAATTCAGTACCCTCATAGGTATTGAATCGTCATGGGAACATGGAGGACTTTGTGATCTGACTTGTTTATTATGCACCAGTCACCATTTACAAGACGGGGTATCTTCGGCCGGGTGGTTTCGAACTTCCATCCTCACAAATGTGAGTCCAGCTCCCTGCCAACCAGGCTACCCTGGTCTTTTGTCACATTTTTAGTATTTAAAATTAGGTGGTAATTAAACTGGTCAATTGTTTTTATTTCTTAATGAATGATCCAAATAACATTTTAGTTATTAAAGTGTAAAATTTTGTTGTGCCATGGCATATTATCTTTTTAATTTTTGTAGGATAATTATTCTGATTTTCTTAATTTTTATAGGATGATGACTTTGATTCCACGTCTGGATTTTTGTCTACTACAATGGGCAGAGTTGTAAAACTTGCTAAATCTGGACACAATCGTTATATTCTCTATTTACTTTTATTTTCTTTTTTTGTGTTCTTCATGATTTACTTAATAATGAAATTTCAATAATTACCATGTCTTAAATATATTTATTTATTGAAAAAAAATTTAATGTTTTTAAAAATCTTTTTCTGGTTTTATTTCAAGTTATTAAACTATAATCATAATCCATTATACGTCTTCAGAGAATATTTTGGAATGAAAATATTAAAAAAAGAAATGTTATACTTTTAGTTTTTTTTTTTTAATAATTTAATATTTTTATAAGGTTATTTCATTTCTAAATATTTTCTAATGTATATAAAATTTGAAAGTTTTGTAAATATTTTATTGAATAAAGATGTATTATTTAACAGTTGCATTCTTTATCTACTATTTTTACTGGCCGTCCAGAATCCACTACCTTTTATTAAATTAAAGACTTTTATAAAAAAAGAATTCTCTTTGTGCTGTATAATATGAATTACAAAGCTGAAATGAAAATTATTAGAAAGCAATTATTAGAAAGCTGTTTAATGGTGCTAAGTATCTAAAATATTCAAAATGCTCGATTCTCTTTCTTTGCACTGATGATGTTTGTTTATAATATTAAAACAGGAATTAACTAACCTTTGTTTGTTACCTATTATTTTAATATGCAATTATTATTTCACTAATATGATATTTTCCTTAAAATTGGAATGAGAAAATTAATTTTTAAAAAAATATTTATGCCAGAAAATAAAAATTTCAATTTAAAAACCATTTAGTAAAAATGAGAGTGGTTTGATTTCTGTAATGCACATATAATTATATAATTTTATATAAGTGTTCTGGGGAAATGACCAGTTTTTTTGCTCATATGTTCTATTAAAATTATGATTTTTTTTTTTTTTTAGAATTTTGAAATAAAATTTTTAAAAAGTTAAACTTTTAATTTAGTACAGTATGTTTTATAAAAAAATATTTTTAAATTTTATTTTTCTCCTGGCTAAATATTTAAATTGAAAAAAAATTGGTGTAATAAATTTTTTTCTTTTCAGTGCTCTTAAATTTCTTGTTAAATCTGCTGTGAAAAAAATAATTTTTTTCTGATAATGTTAAAAACTTACTCCTAAAATCTAATTTTTGTCTCAAAAATATTACATTAATTGAGTTTTAATTACTTTTCTAAATATATTTTGATTTTTCCTAAAGTTCGAAATATAAATAGAATTTCTTTATAACTTTTGATCTGGTACAAAGATCACCCATTAAGATGCTATTTTAATTATTTGAGTATTTGTTAGTCAATATGGTAGTTAATGTGTACAGATGATGAATTAAAGGATATTCAAATCTTTTCTCTCTGATTAAACATGTTTTTACAACAGATCTTATTTTTAAATTTAAGTTTCTTTAAAAAGAAGGATATTTAAGGTTTAAAATAAATGGAGTATCCATAATTTGAAAAATATGTTTTGTCTAGAGAGCTATCAAAAATTTCTATTTCTTGATGCTATTTTCAGTTTAAAAGAATTTAAATATATTTTTTTAATTATTTAGGCCAGTGTTTCCCAAAGTGTGGTACGCGTACCCCCAGGGGTACGGGAACAGTTTAGTGGGGGTACGCGTTCTTATGCGAATTATCTTGCAGCAAACGAAAATTTAAATTTTTTTTATTTAAAATCAAAAGCAACCATAAAAATTTGCGATTACGTATTTTTCTTTTGGCTATTTTTGCAGAGTTAACAGTTAATAATTAGTGGTGTCAACAGCCAATTTTGATTTTTAACTTTTGTGCAATTTTTTTTATAGTAAAGGTTTGTTCTACTTAATTAGATTATTCTTTAAAATATAGTTTTTATCACTCTAACATAGAATTTTTTACAATAATTTGAGAATTTTTTACCGAAAATTTTGTAACAAAAATGAAAAGTAAACATTTTTTTTAAAAATACATAAATTTTTCTAATAGTGGTACATAGCGTTACGAAAAATTTAGAAAGGGTACACAAAAGTCGTAAGTTTGGGAAACGCTGATTTAGGCTAATCAAATAGATTTTGCACTTATAAAACTTCTTTGTCCGAATAAAATGTAATTCCTTTTAAAAAGTTATTATGCTAACTCTGTAATTATAACTTATATACTTTGATAATTCCTATTAAAAAGTAATCTTTCAAGACTTTTTATTATTTAATTTAAAAAGTGTCAAAAAATTTTGAAATGTAAGAATTGTTACCTTTAACTTTTCTAATTTTAAATATCAAGGAATGTAATTTGAACAGAGTCAGCCAAATATTTTCTGAGTAACAAACTTTTTTTTAAACTTTTATTTCTGAAGAACTGTTCTACTGATTTTGTGAAAATTATAGATTTTGTCACTTAAAATTATCAGCTAAAAAATAATAATACGAAAATGTGTTTATCTTGTTATTCAAACATTTTTTTGATGCTTAGGGAATTTTGTTGTTACATATGGCTTTATTGGAAATATTAATCCATATACAATGTTCAAATCTGATAAATAAAAAAAGTTATATTTTTTCAGAGAAAGTATGTTTTTGTGTCTGCGTTTGTAATTTAAAATAGTGTCAACGTAAAATAATTTTGTGTTTAAAGTTATACACCCTCAAACTCCTAAGATTGTGTCTTTTAGTACATGACAATCCCAATAATGGATCAAAAGTTATTAATGTTTTATTTTTTTAAGTATTGTACCCTGAAAATTAAAATTATTTCTAACTGCAGAGTCCAATGCTCTATGCAAATTTTGATACCAAACTTAGTTTTTTTTTCTTTTTCTTAAATAAGAACTGAGGTGTCTTAGCTGTACCAACAAGAAATAAATAATAGAAATAAAAAAAATAAATATCAGTTATAAACCATGTTACACATAAGTAATGTAATTTATAATAATATTACACATAAGTAATATTAATTTTTAAAGTAATGATTAAAATTTAGCATCTCAATTTATTTGTATTATTAGAATTAAAGAAATTAATTTTATTAAATTTAAAGAAAAATAAAAATGTAGATATCTCGTATTCATATATTTAAAAAAAAAAATTAGAAAATTTATTGAATCAGCTTTCACGACCTTTAATAAGGATTAGTTTTATTACTGTTAAAAATGCAATTCTAATAGAGAAATATTAGACTATTATTGAAGATATCCTTTAAATTTGAACAATACTTCTTTCCATCGCACAGGCTAATGAAATTTCATTNATCTCGTATTCATATATTTAAAAAAAAATTAGAAAATTTATTGAATCAGCTTTCACGACCTTTAATAAAGATTAGTTTTATTACTGTTAAAAATGCAATTCTAATAGAGAAATATTAGACTATTATTGAAGATATCCTTTAAATTTGAACAATACTTCTTTCCATCGCACAGGCTAATGAAATTTCATTAAAGGTGCAAGTAGAGAGAATTGTAAACCTTTGATCATTTTCTAATTATAGAATCTCAAGGATTATCATTTCTATATTTGTATGTTGCAATAAATGGAAATGGTTTTAGGAAAGTTATATTTAAAATTATATACCATTATAATTTTCTTCACATTTTATTAATTATGGTTGTGATACATCTAGAAATGATTTTTATAAATTTATTATGTATATTTTCTGACTGGTTGTTTTTAAATTTATCGACCCTATTTTTTCTGGATTGGAGTGTTTTTAAAAACTTCCTTTAAGAAATAGAATTAAATCTATTTTCTGTTAATTTTAGGTTTTCTTTAATTTTAATTTTCAAATACTGAAAAAAAGATAAATAAAAAACCAGGTATTTTAACCCCTTCCTTCTCGCTCCAGTGAAAATGACGGGATGAGGTTTCGCCCTCTATTTCTCGCTCAAGTTGATATTGACAGGCTGGAGTGTTCAGTAGTAACGCACCAATAAGGATGAAACTAATTAATTTCTTTTGCCCGGAAAACATTTTATTTCTCGCTTTACACATCAGATGGCAGTATCAGGATATTTTTATGGTATTTGTGGAAGAGATGAAAACTATAAGAGATGTAGGAAGGAAACGTGGTACTGCTGTCCAGATTGTGACGTTGGCCTCTGTATCTCATGCTTTGAAATTTATCACACAAGAAAAAATTACTAAACGTTATTTATATTATACGTAAGTTTAATAAAATTCTTTTTTAATATTTAAAACATATATTTTTTTCAAATTTTCCTTGCTCCAACATTAAGTCATAGTAACCCTGAATGTTGACTTTTTCTAAAAAATTTATTTTTTAAAATTTCATGCTAAAAACAAATAAAAAATGAATATATATATTATTCATACACATATTCTTATATAATTTTCAGGGATTAAAAAAAATCAATTGGCACTTTTATAACCGCTTTCTTGAAAATTAACCAATCGTTAAGGTGTTAATAAAATTTTAAATACTCATCCTTACATAAACTATTTCTTTATTAACACGTGAAGTTTGTCAGACTTACTAAAAGCGAATGTAGATGGCAGCATCATATATATAATGGTGTTAGATTCAGTTTTGATTTTCTGACTTACTTCATTGAAACTTTTCTGCATGTTCTATATAAATTTTCTTTTTGTTGCGATGAAATTTTTTTTGAAAGGATATTGTAGAAATTTCCAAGAAAAACATTGCAAATTTTAATAATTTGCTTTTTTATTATTTTTATTTTAATTCAGTTATGAATTAATATTAAGTACTAACCGGTTAGTTTACTCAAAAAATAAAGGGGGAGAGTGACTAAACTTATCAATGTAAATTTACAATACAAAAAAAAAAGAAGATAATTTTAAGCGATTATGAAGGAATTTTTTTTTCTCTTATTTCATACGAAATTCATGTAAATAAATAAAAAAAATACAATTTACTAGGAAAAAAATGAATAATAGTAAATTTATTGCACGAATTAAAGCATTTACTTTATTTTACTACTGGAATTAATTTACATAGATGATTTGTTGCTTTTAATGTTTAATTCCCTAGTTTTGCAATTTTAAATTGAACTCAGAGTACAAGGGGCGAACTTTAAGACTTAGAACTGGCTTTAAAATATGTATTATTAAAGTTATAAATAACAGTAGAAGACTTATTATGCACTACTATAAATTTCGTTATCATGTAAATGTACAATGCACTCAAAAAAAAAGAAGAAGAAGAGCACCTGCAATAACTTTGATCTACATGTTCTAGAACTCAATCTTAAAGGTACGAGGGAGTGACTTCAAAGATGCTAATTAGTTAGTGTGTATTTTAAGTTACGAAATCAGACACAATAACGAACTTTCTCCTAAGCATGCGTCTGTTTTTTTCTTTTTCTTTTCTCTCGACTGATTCGGATTTCTGACCCCACAAAAATGGTGGTAACAGCAATTTGGGAAATACAAAAATAC